CAGAAGCAGCACTGACGCGTGATTTCTTACGAAAATTTTGATTAATGGTTATCAAACAGCGGTCCGCCGCCTCGTTGGTAACCAAGATCTTTGAATTACCCTGTAAAAAAAAAATCGTGTGTGTGTTTATGCCAGAATTAATCCGAACCTTTTCCGTGCTGTCATTAATTCATTAAAAAACACTCACCATAATTTATTTTATCCACAATTTTTTAAAATGTTTACTGGTAAAAAGCAAAAAACAGTTACCTTAACTGACAAGACATGTAATGAGAAATAATAATAATTGATATTATTAAACACTAAAAAATCCGGAGCAGAAGTAGTTATTGTGTCTGAACGAGATATCTCGGGAGTAACATGGAAAGGTAAAGTCAAACTAAAACCTTATTTCTTTTGTGTGTGGCGGTATACCATTAGCTTGATCTTTGAAAAGTTTTATAGTCTAGTTAAATTACTCACTTTGTTGCGGGAAAGAGACGGATTCACATAATCGGGATATTTAAGCTTCTTTATCAACTGCACAAGTTATATGACCCGAACGTTAGGGCGTTAAAAGAAGTCGTCGTGGTCTATTTAAATGTTCTGTTCCGGAAGTTGCCTCGAGGGAATGAAAAAAAATTCTCAATCAGAAAAGGCTACTTGGGATCGATAAGCGAACTCGGGTCCACCCGAGTACAAAGCAGATTTAATAACTATTGAACAGCTAAGATAAATTCTGTAAAACACTGATTTAACGTAAACTTTACACCGTACCGACTTCATCATTTTGAATAAGATATTATTTTAGCATATCTGAAGTAACCTTGATCAGATGTTCGTCTGTTTCATATATTCTAAACAAGACACACAAAATAAACACACTGTAGTTTGTTGAAATGAACGAATAAGTCGAAATCTGTAACTGAAATAGATTCAGCAATACAAGCTATTAAAATGCAAACAAGTGCAGAGGCTGAATAAAGCAAAAATAAATAAATAAATAAATAAATATCCTCACTTTGACTCTGGCCAAATGCTGATAAGACGCTTACCGTCGCTCACTACGGGGATGGTGGACACGAAGGGTAGGAAGAGACAACGCCCAGGGTTGCCGAGCCACAAGACCCAAGGGACAGAACACTTCCAAGTATTAAAATTGGCGTCTCGGAGTGGCAACGGTACCCGATATATTTTACTCTTAATATCGGGTCATCACGTTAAATATCACGTCACAAGAATTTAAAATTTATTATTTATGTCTGTTCACGATCGAATTTAAATTACAAATTTGCTTAAATTACCAGACACCAAAAACTTCCTCCCATCCCCCACGGTCTGCCAACTAAAATGTGTGGTTGGGACTGAGCATTCAGATCCAAATGTTCTGCTTATAACAAACAAACAAACAAACAAAGAGATGTAGCACATCTGAATTGGGTAAGATATTACAGAATTATCGAAATAGTTTATGTTTTTCTTGAAGTTCTCAATAGCTGCAAAACTCATCTAATCTTATTTATTTATTATTTAGTGTTCTGTCTGACGACAGGTCCATATGAACAGGATCCTTCCATCCTTTTCTCGGACTGGGACCTGTTCATATACGTTCTTGGCAGATAATCCAGATGTTCAGAGTACTGCACAAATAATAAATATTTCTAAATATTGCGGTCATCAGGTAAAAATATGGTTGATCACTGGTTGAACAGACCTGGCTTAATAAGTGCGTATAAGTAAATGCCAGCAGTTAACACCAAAATCTTCCAAAACAAAATCATTGCAAGAAGATGAATGTCTTCTAAGAAGTTGAGTCGTGTAGTCCGGTAAATAATTACCGACGTTTCAGAGGTGTCTACTGCGCCAATTATTAAAGCGACGAGCCTCATCGCCCTGATGATGGAGGCAGTAAGCACCTCCGAAACATCGATAAACTTTTACCGGATTACACGGACGGTATGAGAACCTGAAATGTAGCAGAATCACTGTGTGTGATTACAATAATACGAAACTGTATTTGGAGACGAAAATAAGAAACATGTGCGACAGTGCTGATTCTGATTATAGCGTCACTTTAAAGACACTTGGTGACTTACCATTCTTACGTCATCAATTTTTGAGATACTTCGCAAAAACATGTTGACACTGACGACTGCCGGTCCATCTGATGTGAGAGAAAACTTTGGTTAACATTCATGAGCGTAAATTGGCTAAGATCTGCACTGTGTAAGCAGAAGACGACACGGACCGCGAGTGTGTGTTCGCGTAAGTTTGATGTACGATCATGCAAAGGCTTCGTTTTCCTAGAAAGACAGATGCTGATAATGCACGCCACTTCAACAAGATACAAGTCTTCACAATTATCGAGGGGAAAACAACACAGAATTACCACATTTATAAAACCTAATACACCTCTATATGATTTTGGAGAAATTTCAGATCTATGGGTTCTACTACCCTAAATATGGAGGCAGTATGTTCCTTCAGAACGTCAGTATCTACAAGAACCTCAGATCTCGTCAATTTCACGCATTTTCCCAGTTTATTCCTCATAGTACAAAATGGTGCCAGAAAAAATCTATGAACGATGCGAAAAGCAAGTGTGATTGTGTAAATGTTTGTATTATGTGGTTCTGTGTGTAT